AAGTGCGGGTACTCTTTTTTTTACGAGTGCAGTAGGTACCTACACAATTTATTCATAACATTTGCTTCCATTCCCTTTTTGAATAAAACATTGCGATCTGTTAACTGAAAACACGAGAGCAGGAAAGTGAATTAATAAAAATCGCCCGTTACCTACATCCTCGGAGAAACCCTGATTATTCGAAGGTTTATACTCAATCTTAGGAGATGGATTAAATTAAATTCGGATTTGCATGCAAAAGCGATATGGGGCATCTTTATTCGTAGATATAATTGTCTATAAAATTATAAAGGGGAAGTTTTGCAGACTTTAACCCTGCATAAGTAGGAATCACCTATATATGATGGAAAGCGTAATTCTATTCTATGCATTTTATGAATCTACCTAAAATTTTAGCAAATTTCACTAAAATATTGATTTATTTGGACCGGCTGTAACTTGGTGTTTTGAGGTACTGACTGTAGGTAATTATTTAAACTCACAAATTAATTACCTGTTTTAGAACAGATTATATATGCATTGCAAGTAAAATCTAGAACACACGAATTAACCACGTCACTGGTTTCTTAATTGCAGTTGACTGTCGAATTTTGACAAATTCTCATTTCTAAAGGAAGTTTTTTTTATATTTTTTTTTTTCGGGAATTATAAGATTATCTGAAACGGACGTAAGAAAAAAAATTGATTTCGACTAAATTAAATAATTCGTGGTCTTTTACAATGAAAATGGAGACGTGATTCGTAGATGATCTGAAATGCGAAAAGGTAATGTTGGATAAAATGAATCAGACTACCATAATTAAAAAAATTGAACGACCTTTGGACGTAAAGTAACATTTAAAAAAGTCGTTTTAGAAACTAATTTCACAATCGGGATTTTCATGTGGAATTATCACTAAATACCAAATTTCGTCGAGGTTTTTTTCATTTACTTTCAATTTTGGAAAAATATTTACAAAACCCGAAAGGGCATACTCAATATTCTCTATCTCACAATTGTTCGGCACAAGTCAAATGTACCACACTATACAAGAAAAAAATGCTTTATACATTTCATCTAATACATCCACTTTTGAAACTGTGCTAAGATTTTCGTTGTACACTGATTGGTGATTATAAAAGTATATTAATTGGCCATTTTCGTAGAGGTGTCAAGTGATTCATTAACGCAAAAACAAGGAGAATGGTCTCAAGTTCAATCAAAAGGATTAATTTCCTCGGGAACAACTTACATCGCTGTTGTAGTAAATAGGAGGGTTTACAACTAAAATCCTATATAATGAACAGATTGAATTCCCTTTTATTATACAAATGAGACGGAAAATCTCGGAGTTCTGCTCTACCCCGGTTCTAGTTTCGAATCGTGTATGTAGGATGTGTAAGTCTTTGTAATTTTCTTTTTGTGATTTTGGGTAGGTATATGCATATTAGTTGGAGAAACTGTAATCCTTGTGGTTCTTGCATTTTCAACATTTTCAATCTAAACAAAACAAAAAAACCAGAAAAACCAGGAAATGCGAAAAGTTAGGTATGTGCCTAAAACGATTTTTGTTAATCTCCTCCTTTCACAATATACACGTGACTAAAGCATGAAATAACAAGTATAAATAAATTGTGCACAAGTGTGATGCAAATAAAGCGCATTTTTTTAACCGAAATAGCTTTTGTTTTGACATCACCAATGGATATATTTCTTGCAGACGTCTCAATCGCCCTTTATGAGTACCCTCTTCCGACAATCCGTTCTTGAGGTATAAGGGAATATACCCGATACGATAACAGGTCGAGGAGGAGGGGCATGGTTGGTAGAAACTAATTCCTTTTGTTGAGACCTTTCATTAGAGAACCATGAAGGGTAATTCCTTCTCTACAGCTATAAGGATATAGCGCGAAGAGGCGTTTGATGCCGCATCAGAGATTTGCAACGGAAGAAGAACTGCGGGAGTTAGTTCTGGAAGTATTGGTAGCATTACTCCTGCTGAGTAGGACGTTAGAATCGCCGTTGAGAAGATGCTCTCTGTGTTTAGAAAATAATGGAACTTTTCCAAAATTTACTCTAAATTTAGATATTATTTTATTCAAATTCTTTGCTCGTTGTATTTTAATTTTTATATCTTCTGTTACATAATTTAATTTGTTTTTTCTATGAAACTGTTGTATCAATTCACGCATTGCATTTATTAAATACGTAGATAATAATATAACCGTTAATTATTGTCCTAGCTAATGATTTACTTAAAAAAATCTTTGTACAGATCCTTAATAAGAATGTTCTTAGTCCTAGCCCTAAAAAAATTAAATTTTGGAGAGACAACACTGAGTTATATTAGTACATGCACCCCAATGAGAGATGGAATTCCCAACGTACCGAAAAAAAAATCCAAACCATTGAATCATTGAATTCAGAATAGGAAGGACCTAAGAATATGATATCGGAATATCAGGGCCGTATTTAAAAAATGAAGTTGATGATGGTTCTCCAAAAACGAAACGTCAGCAAGTAATTCAAAAAATACTAGTGAAAGGCTCGTGTTTAACGCACCAAACGAAATATCTGGAGTCACTTTGGGATTCCACATGACCTCTCAAAAGATGTCTAGAGAGGTTCTGTCTGGCAATCTATTTCTCTACATAGATTTTTATTTTTAATAGGGTCGCTCTTCAAGATTTTCAAAAGTGTATCGAATAAGACACTACTTAAGAATTCTAAATAATGTTTCACATGAAAAAATAAAATCAATAGACTACCTATAAAGGTTTTCCTCGAGGTTTTCTTATCCCCTTGCCAATTGCTGTTGAGGATGTACCCGGTATTTTTGGTAGAATGTTAAATGTCTTAATAAGTTCTAATGGCATAACTTAATTTTGTACTGAATAGCAATTTGACTAAAAGTCTACGATGATTGTGTTTAACTTAATGTAACTGCCATTTTATGTTTATGGATGAGTTTTATTTTGTAAACCATTACAAGCTGATGGAATTGTAAATGAATGCCATCGACTATAATATAATATACCATATTAATGAACACTTGTTTCAACAGTTACGTTTTTCCTTTAACTTTCTAGTTAAGTGATCACTAAAACTTACCATATAAACGAGTCTAATATAATTACGCTAGCTCGTGTTATATGATCAATTTATTCCCGTTAAAGTACCTAAGTTCTCGAGATGAGATAGATAAAGTTTCAACTGGTTGCTTCTTGAAAATGATTTTCCGCAGCAAGTTTTCTCATTATTGTGCAGAAATTTTTTAAATTTACATATATTATACTATAAATGATCAACTCAACGTTAAACCAATTTGTGTTCTACTATACGATGTTTCCATAATCGAAACAAACAGTGCATCCTGCAGTAGGATATATACATATCTAAATAAACTCTTCAGTGTATAAACAAATTTAAGTTTGTACTTGTCTTCGTATAATAATCATTGCGGAAAAGTGAGATAGTACCTATATTAAATCATTAGTTTATAATGCAAGCGATTATAATAGGGCTGGCCAGATTTTTTTAATACTAGCTTCCAGTTGTTTAATTAATCATTTGGCATCTGAACCCCATGCAATTAACACACTATGTTTATCGAATTATAAACAAAGGTGATATTAAATTAAACATTCAATTCAATTATTCAATATATAAATGAAATATTACCTTTGCAGTATTCCGATGATTCCTATGGATTCGAACTGTATATAATTAACAACTGCCTGGCTACATTTCACATTTCAATTTTACGATTCAAATTCGTCAATCTTGTACCTTTTAAGTAACTTCCCTCATTAAACGACTACCTTGTACTTTCTTTTTAACTAAGTAAGTTGCCCGCTTAAGTTGCAAATTTCTACATCTCTTTCCTTGATCAACGGGCATGTTTGACTACCTCCCGAATGCTTTCCTTAAATATCCATTCCTTAAGAACAACATAAATGATTAGGAACGTAATTTTTTCGCCTTTATTATTGCTGTAGTCTCGTAACCGAATTCTGTTTATGCCCCACGTCATAAATTAATAGTGTATGTGTTTAAAATCGCAACCGCTAACTCTGTTTTCTTTAAAAAAAACTGGTTTATACGGAAATGGGCACGTTGTACATATTAGCAATCGCGAGGGTCTAAAATAGAGATCAGATCAGATACAAAACAAATTCCTAAACCCCGTAAAGAAACAGCTTGATTCCACGAAATCGGATAACAGAATGGACAACATCTTAAAAATAATTAAGTTTTGGTATCCATAAACAGTTACGAAGAAAGAAAAATAGTCATCTGTGGGTTTACATTACATAGATTATTGCCAGAGATGAAAATTTTTACATAATTTTGGACGAAAGTGAAGGAATTGTTTCTTCAATAAAAGCGACTAATCTGTTCATTGGGTATATTTTGCAGAAGTATAATTCACATTTGGAAAAATTCAGACCATGCACCAGTATTTTTGAATTCACAAATGATTGTTTTTAAGTCTCCAAGAACTTCTTCACATGAACCTTCTAACCACAAATGTTCAGTTTTGAGGCAAGTTTCTTTATAAACTAAACTGCTGTCCAGTTTCCCCAATAGAATATCCAATCAAATCCTTGAGGTGTTGGGGTCCAGCAACTGAACCATTTGGAAAAAAAAACATGATAGTATTATAAACGTTTTCTTTAGTGACAATATAAGTACTTACATACTCGATTTTGACTAATTGGTGATGTAGGATGGTGAAAAGAACGTGAAGAAGCAATTTGTTTTTTAATTAAAACATGTTTAGTTTCGGGTTACTGCACCTGATAAGCTTTCTCAAAGCGCTTTCTTAAAAACAAGTCAAGTTTTTCCTTTAAAAATGTCCTGCATGTAAATAAATGTCAAAAGAATGAAGACAAACGAGTTTGTGCTATTCAAACAATTTCCTCTGATTCTATTCGCCTTAATCTAATGTAACAATTTATATCAATCTAACGTGACCTTCTCTATACTTAATAAACAGTTTCTCATCTTTATTTTACAGAAAATCCGACCGTAGCAGTCAAAGATGATTTAAAAGAAGTTAAACTACCCGGGGTAAGTTAACTAGATTTTTATACTTGAAAGCATTTGCACGATATTGAAATTTTTTTGGACGACTTTCGATATAAGACCGTACGAATTCGGTATATAGCGCATTCCTTTTATATTTTCCAACTTAATATACGGCAAACAAAACATTCCAACTATATTAAATCTAAAACATCAGCCACCCTTGGCCGACCTGTAATTGCGAAAGGTGCAGGTATTAAAAAGATCGATTTGCGCAGGAAATGAATTTTCAAACATGAAAGCTGGAAAAGTTGGTTGCTATAGTAGAATTTTGTTGCAATATAAATACGGAAATGTGTTTTTCTTATGATCGTTTCTGTCGGTTTGCTCGAAATATTTTTACTTTGAGATGAAAACTTCATAGCTCCATTATAGATTGGTGAAACCTATCCATTTATGGACGGTTTATACAATCATTATCTTAGTATCTGTCATGGTTTATTTATACAATCATTACGATCATTAGTACCTAATGATGGTGATGAATGATGATTGTATAAACCCACCACAAGTTCAGTATCATTGATCATTAAGCAATAGCCAATAGGAAAAAAGGTTTCTTGTTAACCAACGAAATCATACCTTTGTTTTTATTGGCAAAACACCAGGATGCCTGAGACCGCGTTAGATTTCTTGTTAGAAACACAGACGTCCTTATGTGCTTAAATAATGCTTAAAATTACTTACATTTCGCACATCTTTTCCCATTAACTTTTTCCGTTAAATGAGTATTTAGCTCGATATGGGGTTCGAAAGCCCACAGTCTAGACGTGTATAGAAAAAACTAAAACAAGTGGGAAAATTACGCGGTTTTTCGAGTGCTGCCAAGTAAGCACAAATCTTTCAAAACTGCTAAAAGATACACTACTGGTAGGGGTCCTAACAACATATTGAAAAATCAGAACTAATCGTTAGTTAACCTATCTGGCAGTTACTTTATCTATGTAAACAAATGCGTTCACATCTATCAATTGAAAAACCAGCCCTAGAACAGATTGAATTGGGCCAAAAGTAGAATGATCTCTACAAATACATAATATAATACAAAGATTTTCCATCAAAATTCTTTTTCCGAAAATCCATTTAATTTCTAAGATAAAATGAGCCGGTATCATCAATCACTTCTTTTTAAATACTCTTCTCAACGACCCATTATAACTTTGTGCTAAATAAAAGCTTTCCATTAAAAGCGTAAACACTTAAGCCTTAGAAAGCGTCGAATTTACCATAATTTTTTCTCTCTTTGCCTAATTAATTCCTCTGTCAGTTTTATTAACGCGAAATAAGTACGCGTCGAAACGAGAATTTAAATAACGAAAGAGCGAATCGACTTTCCGGGTTTGCGTTTATCCAGTTTCATCTTCCTGAAACCAATCAACAAAATTGCAGCTCGGTAAATCTAAAACAAGCGGAATTACACGTTTGTTTTTAATTGCCAGTAGCGGATATGATATGATTATTACGCTTCCCTGCCTATTTTTAATTGATGCATTCCCCCCATTTCGCTTAGGTTGCATACTCTACAAAAAAAAACTAACGTTGGTCCAGTTCATCCAAATCTCCTCGTTTGTGTAAACCTCAAAGGATTTTATGGGTCAAGTACTACGTTTAAAAACAAAGACTTGAAAGGTTTAAACCATTTGCTGATTAAACACTTTTCTTTTTACTAAAGGAAGTATGAAAGGTTTGCCTTTACTGGCGTTATTGTAATTTAGCCCCTAGAAAGGTAAGCCGCAAACTAAAAAAAAAATGCCCGAACACCCTCGTTATACATTTTTTTTTCGCGTTTCCTTTTTTATCTCTGCCGGAATATTAATAGGATTACCTGTGAACAAGATCTTTGGCAGCTTTAAGGATAGTAAAGAGTTGCCCATTATCGAAGACCAAATTTTCTACATGTGCCACGCTTTCCTATATGGGAACTAATCTTATATGCGTCAAGCACGTATTCATTTACAAATTTGAGCTCTTTTGCAATTTGCGCATCCGCCTCGGTGGCTACCCAATAGATCCAATTTTATTACAAAGAATCTCTCCGATTTGTAATGGTAATCAGAGTGTATCTAACCTTTGCCTTTGGGAGGAGATCTAGCGGATGCTATTTGAAAGCTGTGAAGATGACTGAGAAAAATGAACGGCTTGACCGAATGTATACCTACTTAGTTCTGAATTCAATTCGATTTTTTTAAAGTTCGATTTCGAAAAATCACGGCTATCTTTACCCATTAAAGATTATGGAATGAATCCCCTCCTGTAGAATCCATAATTTCAAACAGTTCCAAGATTGGGCTACTATAGTTCAAAAGTTACAGCCCTTTGAATTTTCTTTCGAAATTGGTTTCTAGTCTATAACTTTTGATTGAGAAGTCTGATCGAAAAAGTACGAATTGTTTTGGATTCTACGCACCAAAATTAATAAGAAAAAGTGTTTTCCCGAGAAATTTTGATGTAATCGATTTTTGGTAAAAAAAGGAAGCCTTTTTTTGAGGCTCGAAGAGAAAATTCTCTCAGATCGACCCGGAAAAAAATTTTTCTGATAGAATGGGGCCTGTAGAATCCATAATTTCAAACAGTTCCAAGATTGGGCTACTAGTTCAAAAGTTACAGGCCTTTGAATTTTCTTTCGAAATAGGTTTCTAGTCTGTAACTTTTGAATGAGAAGTCTAATCGAAAATGTACGAATTGTTTTGGATTCTACGCCCAAAAATTAATAAGAAAAACTGTTTTCCCGAGAAATTTTGATGTAATCGATTTTTGGTAAAAAAAGGAAGGTATTACACTGCCTTTTTTTGAGGCTCGAAGAGAAAATTCTCTCAGATCGACCCGGAAAAAAATTTTTCTGATAGAATGGGGCCTGTAGAATCCATAATTTCAAACAGTTCCAAGATTGGGCCACTAGATCAAAAGTTACAGCCCTTTGAATTTTCTTTCGAAATTGGTTTCTAGTCTATAACTTTTGAATGAGAAGTCTAATCGAAAAAGTACGAATTGTTTTGGATTCTACGCCCAAAAATTAATAAGAAAAAGTGTTTTCCCGAGAAATTTTGGTATAGTCGATTTTTGGTAAAAAAGGAAGGTATTACACTGCCTTTTTTTGCGGCTCGAAGAGAAAATTGTCTCAGATCGATCCGGAAAAAAATTTTTCCGATAGAATGGGGCCTGTAGAATCCATAATTTCAAACAGTTCCAAGATTGGGCCACTAGATCAAAAGTTAAAGCCCTTTGAATTTTCTTTCGAAATAGGTTTCTAGTCTATAACTTTTGAATGAGAAGTCTAATCGAATAAGTACGAATTGTTTTGGATTTTACGCCCAAAAAATAAGAAAAACTGTTTTCCCGAGAAATTTTGGTGTAGTCGATTTTTGGTAAAAAAGGAAGGTATTAATTACACTGCCCTTTTTTGAGGCTCGAAGAGAAAATTGTCTCAGATCGACCCGGAGAAACATTTTTCTGATAGAATGGGGCCGGAAAAAAATTTTCTTATAGAGATCCATGAAAATAATGGATAATATGGTGGGTGTTTTCTAAAAGAACACGCATATGCTTTTTGAACACTCGTAATATTTTATCCGACGAAGCTTTCGATATAGTACATTTCAATTTTGTGGGTGGTCTAATTCGTGTATGGTAGTTTAATGTACTAAGACCCTGTAACTGGGCTTACAAAAAGAGTTTGGTACCCTTGAACACGTGAATTTAAACGTACTTTATACTGCGATATTTTACCGTGTTCAGTAATGTTAATGTCTTAACCGACAGTTACACTTTTCTCGAGAAAAATTTAACTTTACAAAATCAAAATATGGTCATATATTGAAATCTGGTGCAATAGTCGATTTGACCCTCCTCTAGAGTCTTCAGGGAAATAAAGCTTCAAATCTGCGGTCTTTACTTAACAATTGAAAATGTATAATTAACTTTTATGACTCAGTTAGAAGACTTTCGTGATGTAACAGCAAACACACTTTACGTTTAAAAACGGTTTTAATGTGCTTTGAAAGGATTCGATATTGGTAGTATGATATACGTTTTTAGTGTAGACCGATTTTATTATTTTTTTTCATATTTTTTATTCATATATATAAACCATAGAGTTCACTTTCTACGTTGATAATACGTATATATAAATAACCGTTTTTTAGCATTCGTTTTATAAACGTATATAACACCTTAATATACGCATATAAATCTATATCAATGGCAAATAATAAACGCATAAATATTCTTACACCGATACAGCAGAATACATCCGCCGAACATTTATGCGTATTATATATGTAGGGTTTTAGTCTACAATAAACGCTTTTTATACGGAACTGTGTTGCTAGGGAACCCAGCAGCATCATAATATTTCCAATACTAATTATCATTACTTCTTTTCCCAAGAATATATTGCTAGCTAGACCACAATTGATTAGTCGCCTTTTACGACATGCAGTGTCACTGCAGTAGGGTTATTCTTTCCCCGCCCCTACACGGGTATGTAGAAATACTTATAAATTTAAATCAAAATTCATGTCGTTGTGTGCCACCCTGTATAAATATTTCAACGCAACCCAACCCTTATCTTTCTACAATTGGGCACGCGAGAACTGGAGTACACTCCAGAATGCAAATACTTAGGAGTCATACTGGACAAGAGGCTAACTTGGAAGAAGCCTCACATCACGATGGAGGTCGACAAGACCTAAATGAGCTGTGCTGGGAGAGGACCGAATTACGCTGTTTCAATGGCCTTAGGAACCGCTCCTACAGTATTTCAAGCCGAGATGCGAGGAGGTTATTGAGGCCAAAGGGCTACTAATGGGCTCGGACAGTGAGGCAGCTCTAGCAGCCTTCTCTTTGACCTCCAAGCTGCTCATGGAATGCCACACAACACTAGAAGAAAGAATATTCAGGCATAATCGTGTTACGTCAGTGTGAGTGCGAAGCCATGAGGGGATAGCCGGTAGAAGACTGATCACCTCGCTGAAGCCGGCACCAAA